TAGCAAACTAGTAAATAAAGACTATAAGGAAAAAAAAAAAAAAAAACACCCTGGTATTTGTCTGTGTGAACATGTTTGCCTCCAGATGTTGATCCTCTGAGACACATAGAAACAGTCAGCTCCAAGATGACAGGTGTCCCTTGAAGTTCTGACAATATCTGAACAGAAAAGACGTCCAGAGGAGGACTGGGGCTGTTTACCCCTGGAAGTATAAGTATTTTATTTTTGGACTAATTTGACAGCTTTTTATTTTGATATTATTTGATATTTATAGCAGATATGTCAGTATTTGACTTTTTAATACATTTTAGACACAGAATCCAGTTTCAGTTCTTGCCTATAGTTGTCCAGTGTGTAGTGATGAATTTAGATGCAGCTATTCTTTAAGGGCATGGGAGAACAGAGGTGATCAATCAGCATAAGGATCACAATTCAATTCAGTTTATTTATATAGCGTTATTTCACAACACATGTCATCTCAAAGTACTTTACAGTTCATCAAACAGTCAAATTGATTTAAAGTTTTCTATCTAAGGAAAACCAGTTGATTGCATCCATTCATTGACTCGAATGCAATCCCTCACACTAAGTATGGTTGTAGCGACAGTGAAGAGAAAAAACTCCCTTTTAAGAAGAAACCTCCAGCAGAACCAGGCTCAGGCTGAGCGGCCATCTGCTGAAGCCGATTGGGGTTCAAGGAGACAGAAGCAGAGATATAAAAGGCAACTGTAAAAGGAGGCCCGGTCCAGGAAACACACAGCCAGGCAGACGAGCTCCGAGCGAACTCCCATGTCAGAGGATGAAGAGAGCACACCCAGCCAGTCACAGTCAGAGAAACAGGACTACACTGGAAAAACAGGCTGATCTCCAACATCTATAAATAAAGATGGTGACAGCACAGCACACACAGCAGACATCATGGTGGTGAAAGCATCATGCTGTGGTAATAATATTTTTTTCAGCAGTGACAGGGGAAGCTGGTCAGGGTTAACGGGAAGATAGATGGAGGTTAACACATGGAAATCCAAGAGGAATCACTGTTATGCTACGTTCAACCTGCGATAGAGGCAGCAAAGAGCTTCTGCTGCTTCATTTTTTATGCTTTTACACATCAAGGTCTGAGGCACCTCAAGAGCATCTTTGACGCTCCTGAAGCGCGTCCATTTAAGGGTGTCCAGATGCATCTGATACTTTAGCTGCTACTCTGTTCAATAGCAGAGAGTGGCTTTGCTATATTTGCCGTGATCAGTGGGTAAAAAGTAATTTTAATATGTTTTTAAGTGAGACAGGTCACCCAAAAACATCATCTGTGTAGTCACTTCATCAAGATTACGATCCTGCCTTCAAATATTATTTCGCTGACGGAGCTGCTCAGACCCCCGTACCCCCGTGGTTCAAGATGCACTGCTCCTGCTTCTGCTCCTTTTGATGTGCCTTGATGCACGTCAACCATAGACTTTGCATTTAAACCAGCTGTTTCAGCAGCGTGCAATCTAAACGTAGCATTAGAGGCTGCAATGAAAGTTCACCTTCCAATAGAGCAACAGCCCTAATCATACAGCACAGCTGAAATTTGATCATTCAAATCAAACCACCTGCAAGTGTTATGCTACAGTTCCACACACACTGTAGATCATATCAAGAGACATACGGTAGATTGAACATAGGGCTGCTCAGTGGTGCAGTCGGTAGCACTGCTGCTTTGAAGCAAGAAGGTTCAGGGTTCCATTCCCAGCCCTCTTTCTGCATGAGTTTGCATGTTCTCCCTAGTATGCGTGGGTTCTCTGGTACTTCCTCCCACAGTCCAAAAACATGGGTGTCAGGTTAATTGGCTTCTCTAAATTGTCCTTAGGTGTGACTGTGTGCATGAATGGTTGTTTGTCTGTGTGTTGCCCTGCGATGGACTTGCAAGTTGTACCCCGCCTCTCGCCCGTAGACAGCTGGAGATAGGCACCCCTCCTGACCCCACTTGGGATTAAGCTTGTAAAGAAATGGATGGATTGAACAAAAGGCAAAAACAAGACTATTTGTTTAATACCTGTAAACTCAGAAGGAGAGTACAAGTATAACTTTCATGTAAGGTGTGGAAGGAGAAATCCTTGGCTCTTTTAGAGAAAGACATAAACACTGGACAGACTTGGGGCCTCTTGAGTAGGTCACTTTGGGCAGATTCGTTTAAAATGGAATAAGTACCAAAAAAAAATAAGACAACATTTTTCGAAGATAACCTGATAACTTTCAAGCATGTAGATGGGAGTGTCATGGCAGCAGGACACGACCAGCGCAGTGTGACAAAATCCAACATAAGTACAGTATAACAGAGGTTGCGTAAGGAAAGCCTTCGTAAAACATTAAAAGTGAAGCAGAGATGAACCCTGAAGCATTGACTCATGAGCAGAGTCAAAACCTAGATCCTGATTATGCTGAGATTTAGTGGGATGATTTTAAATAAGCTGAGCATTCAAACCCCTCAAACATCTAACAGCCCATAGTAATCCTTGGACTGATACAGTGATGGTATTCTCACCGAAGCCATGCCAGCCATAGGGAGTAACAGGAGCTGTTAGGGACTAGGGGGTGTCAACGTTTCTTTTTTGTTAGGTTTCACAATTTAAGTGATTACGGTATATATCGTAATAAAGTAAAACAAGGTTTGATCTTTAATGATAACTAAATGCATTTTCTAAAGATCAATAAAAAATCACCAGACTTACTGAATTTAAAGCTCCTCATTTTCATTTTTCACATGGCTATACCTTCACTTGTTACCACGTCTTGAAACATGATGAAGATTCCTCATCAGGCAAAGCAATTTAAAATTTCAACTTTAAATTGGGGAAAGGTTATTTTTACACTTTCACTATGCAGATATTACAGTCAGTTCAGTCATTATTGCTCTTGCAAAGAGTGAGTGTGTGGGTGTGCTCATGTTTTGGAATGAGAACCATTTTTCAATTACACAATGAAATTGAGGACCGTTTGTTTGTTTGTAGATATTTCACTTCCTTTTTTGCGGTTTAGTTTAGGACTAAGGTGTGAAATTAGTTTAGTTTAAGGTTGGGTATGCACTAATAATGGTTAGGTTATGGTTAATGTCAGGGTATCAGGGAAGTCAAAGCCAGTCAACACATGGTCTGAGTGGGTGAGTACTGTTTGTGTTGGGGGGGCAGAGGTGGTACAACCAGGATAAATACATTATTGAAGCTGTTTTTGGTGTTTTTCTTTATGAAGAAACCAACATTTTATGATATAAAAGCAATATAGAAGTGAACTTAAGCACTGTGTTGGTTAAATGAATAATTTCTAATGTGCTGTCAGCATAACCTGACCTGAGATCAGTTTTCTGTTGGTGAAACTGGTCTCCTAGCAAACCTGTGGAGGGAGAAAAGGCACACCTTTCATCACGTGAGGTTTTTTTTGTGTGTGTGTGTTCTGTGTGCGCGCGAGAGTGTGTGTGTGTAAACAATGACACGGCTGTGTGTCTCCTTGTTTCACCGCCCTTTGCATATGCCTGTAGATAAGTAAGGGAGGGAAAGGAACAGGGAACGCTACCCTCACCTGACTGCAGCCAAACTATGTGCACTCCAAACATTTCCATAAGCCGACTCTCACACGGAAGCGGAGGAGGAAGTCACACAGAGAGGTACAAATACAGGGAGATCAGCTGAGAGGGTGACATTTAGAAAGAGGCTATATGTGATAGTGACTTTCAGTGGAAAGAAATGACCCAGGATTGGAGCAGAGCCAAAGGCAAATAAAAAAAGCTGCCAGTGCAAACATAGATCTATAGAATCCAGCTAAATGACACAAACTTTTTTTGTGAATTCATCTTTTGACATAAATTCCCATTTTGGTCAGTTAGGGTTAACAAAATTATATGTTTTCTAAATGCCAAAAGAAAAGAGTGCTTCTGTTTTTTAACCTTGATGTTTTCCAGAAGTTGACTTATATTTCCTTAGAATATGGTAGATAATTGACTTTTAAATTTGGCTCAAACATTTAAACAGCAGAATGTATCACAAAAGACTCTTCTCACTCTGGACATTCTCTGTTTGCTTTGTTGACTTCAGGTAGATGGTACAGAGTCATAAGAACTAATCGGTTTCATCCTACAGATATAACAACACTTAATGCAACCCAAAACAACCCATAAATCGATGTGTAGGATTGTGTAGAAGAATGCACAAATATAGGCTATTTTTTTTTTTTTGGTTTTTAGTTATTTTTTCAGTTATTTATTTCTTATGTTGTTTATAGCTGTTTTACAATACTGTATTTATTTATAAAAGCCTAAAGGACTGGATGTGCTGGAGATTCTCATGCTATAAACAGTTGGATGTAACAATTTAAATGGATGAAAGAGAAACCTTCAGGTTTTAGGATGGTTTCAATGATCATTTAGATCCACGGTTCCCTTCCTAACCTCATTTCAGACTTATTTACCTTTTTCTAATATGTATTTGAATTAATGCTTTATCTTTATCTACTGAAGAAAAAAAGGATTAAGGTTGTGATTCTTTTTTTTTTTTTTTTGCATGTTTGTACATATCTGGTTTTGAATATAAATTTAGTTTGTTTCATTTCAAATAAATGAACAATCGTACATTCTGCCATTTAATTTTCTTGCTTCCTGCTAATATTTACTGTGTTAACATATTAACATAATTTTTTTTCTAGAAGGAAATTACTTTTTTATACTGAATGATTTACTAAACTGTTGCCTTAATTAAAAACCTGATTTTTAACTGTGGCAAAAGAATCGTGTTTTTGTCCACATCTCATTTATTTATAGTTCAACTGTAATATTTGCAGCATATGGTTGATATAATGTGTGCTTTTTTACTGTTGATTACTGTTTTTTTGTTTAATCTTTTACATGTATTAAGGCAAGACCAGAACTTTTTTTGTGATTACAATAACTAAATGTTCTCTTTTAAAAATAAACAAACTTCTAATTGAATCTGTTTGCTCTCTCTATTACTCCATCTCCTCTTCCACAGTCCTCATCCTGGAGCCGGTGGAACGGGACGACCTGCATGGGAAAGTCCTGAAGATTACAGACTTTGGTCTGGCCAGGGAGTGGCACCAGACCACCAAGATGAGTGCAGCGGGGACCTACGCCTGGATGGCCCCGGAGGTCATCAAGCATTCTATGTTTTCCAAGAGCAGCGACGTGTGGAGGTATCAAAGTCTATCTGTCTTGCACTATATAACTTCTAAGATTTTTTTTAAACAAAAGCATTTAAAATATGTTAAATAAAAATATGAGTGAAATTTAAACTATGTTAGCCCAGTAAGTTGATTGCCTCTGTTTCAGTTCAATTTGATCTTTGTTTTTGTTTTCTGTAGTTTGGTGAAGTTTATACAGAAAGCAGGTCTTGGTGGTCTATAATTCTGAAAGCTGCAGAACTGAGTCCTATGATGCTGCATGAAAGAGCTTTTTAGCAACAGTTATGACATATTCCAGAGACATTGCTGTGAAGATAAGATTTACTTTGTCATAAGGCAAATTGATGTACCTTTTTTCCATGATATACCCANACCAAGACTACAACCTATCTAACACCCTGCTGGCAGCTCCCTTAGTTGTTATGCTTTTAGACTTTTTACATCAGATCCTATGGACCATAACTTCAGGCCCTGCTCTTATTTTGTTTGAAAGACCTAACCTTTGCTTTCTGTTAAAATGATGAGAGTCCCATGGTGAGACATCTTGCACATGGTGAAGGTGTTTGGCTGCAATCTTCCATTTTTCCAGGACTTGTATGCCTCCAGGACTCTTAGGCATGCAGGGAAGATTGTGGCTGATCCCTCGCACCCCAGCCACAAACTATTTCAGTCACCTCCCGCTAGCAGGAGGCTGCAGTCCATCGGGACCAAAACCTCATGCCACAAGAACAGTTTCTTCCCATCTGCTACCAGCCTTAGCAATAACGCCCAGAGACCCCCGTGACACTGCCTCTCTCCCTCCCCTGTTCAGGACCTAGAAGCTACACCAATGTAGCATCTACAAACCTCCTGCGTTACATTAACTCACAGTCTACTGTGCATATACTATAAAGCTATATACTATATATTCTATATAGTATACTGCATGTTTTATATCATATATAGCTATAGATTCTGTATTCCCTCTATATATTTTAATTGTCTGCACCATCAACACCAAGTCAAATTCCTTGTAAGTGCAAACCTACTGGGCCATAAACTTGATTCTGATTCCTCTGACATTGCTAAGCAGTTCGGTGCACACACCTCCAAATTGCACATGCAGCAACATCAATTCTTTCAACATTAGAATATTTCAAATGTTTCTTAAAATATTCCTAATTTCTTTGCTTTCAAGGAGGCAGAACTTGTCATAATCTTCTAGGGTGGACTAAATCAGTTTAAAGAATGGGTAAAGCAGCAACCTGTGTCCAAAAGCAACTGAAAGACCTTTTAATTATCAGAACCACTGTAAAATGGTAATGTTGTGTTTGCTATAAACAGTATGCCTAGTATGATCAGCCGTTATCACCAAGGAAGACACATTCCCTCCCATTCTTCTTGCCAAACAATCAGATTAGATGGTGAGTTACTCTGAGGTCTCATCAAAGACTCTTAATTTATTGAATTGGTAAATTCCATACCTTCTGCTGAAGTTGAGCCTCCCACAGTCTCACATCTTTTGCAGCCTCAAACTGTTTTATTTTCAGAATTGTCACCACTGTATTTCACAAAAGAATTGGTGTATTCATTGTGGTTGTGTGAGTTCACATATCCCATAAAAATTCCAATTAAATAAGGTTTAAGATTGTAGTTCAATTTTTAGACGGTTTGTGCGAGGGGTTTTGTGTGTGTCTTAAAAACCCCGCTGACCTGTTCTCTGTCCGTTCTGGATAACAGTTTTGGAGTCCTACTGTGGGAGCTGCTCACTGGAGAAGTTCCTTACCGGGAGATTGACGCCCTGGCGGTAGCTTATGGTGTTGCCATGAACAAGCTGACACTTCCCATCCCCTCAACCTGCCCTGAACCTTTTGTTCAGCTGCTGAGAGGTAAGCAGGCATTACCTGAACACCGAAAAGTTTTTAGAATTACCCAAAGATGTGGAGAGCACCAATACCGTTCAAATAAACACCGTATGCACCTGTCATCATGCTTGTCTCTCTAATTTCCATTTACACCAGTCATCTAAAATGACATTGAGCGTGATGATGCAGAACGTGAGCTGGACCCTTCAGCTGCTGAACATGGCCTTTCTGTACTGGAAGTTTTAAACTTGCATTTGTTCATTTCGTGAGCAGGTTTTCTGGTGTTTCACACGAGCTGAGAATAAGAGTTGAAAATGTCAAGGGTTGGTCTTGTTTTGTGTCTTTTCCTGCTTTTTACTTTGAAAGCCATCCCTATAAACTATGGTAGAGTATTAACTGGCTCTTGTTTCACAGTTCAGCTCATCCCTGTTTAAACACTCAGTGTAAACCTGACCTATTGTGCTCCATCTTAAACACAGGTAAAGAAGTTTAAGGTCAGATTCAATCTCTAGCACTTTAAAGGAGTAGCTTTCCAGCTCCCAAAGCTCATTCCTGCCCAATCACTCTTCTTTACCTCATCCAGGTCCATCCTCTAGTCTCCTCTCTTCTGTTTCCACATATATCTTGTTATAGAGTCTCCCTGCAACATGTTAATTTTCCTCAATGATGTTAAAAAGTGTAACTTCTGAGACTCTTTGCTAACTAACCTGGATGACAGTGTTGATAAATGTTAGGATGTATATTTCTTATTGTAGGTGTGGAGCATGTTGTCTCTAACTAACACTGTTAGTCAGGGTTTTGGCTTATGAGAGTTACCATATGCTGTCACCATTTTGCTTCCTCCTCTTCCCCTGTTGTCTGCTTCCCCTGCCAGAAATGAAAAGTATAATCAGTCCAAAAATCCATCGCCCTGACTTTGTACATTATATTGACAGCTGAGGTTTTATTTTGCTTTAAAAAGCAGTAATCCATGGCCCCTTTCATCTGATTGTTCTATATAGGTTTTTATTTTTTACCATAAGCATGTGAATTTAAAGCATATATGAGGCAAAATACTATTTAGTTTGGTAATTCATGTTTTTGGGTAGAAAGTTGCATTACATAGCTTTTTTGTTTGCTCTTAATGAGAGAAACTCAAACTAAATTAGATCAATCAGTTAATTGCAACTGTTTCAGATAATCTCTAATTCTAGAGATGATATAATTTTATTATTATTAATCCATTATATTTATTATCTGTAATTTGGCTAAATTTAAAAGGAGAGTCTAGAGATGCTTTTACGTGAGGTTCTCTGATTATCAGCTGTTAATATCTTACTTATTGTCCTCACCAGATGATGCTTTTTTGGGGTCTTGGTGGTCCTTTGTTGTGAAAGCTGCACAACTGGGTATTTGATGCAGCATGGAGGACCATTCCTGATATGTTGCTGTGAAGATAAGCATTGCTTGGTCATCAGCCAAATAGACGTACCATTTCTTCAAGAACTACTAACACTAAGACCATGGCCTAATCTTACCAACTTCATGCTGGCAGCACCCTTATTAAGTCATTTTTATGCTTGTCACAGCAGCTCATATGGAGCATAAGTTCAGTCGCTGCTCTAGCTTTGTCTGAAAGACAAGCAGCTGTCAAGTGACCTTTGTTTTCTATTAAAATGATGTGAGATCCATGGTCATTTCTCATGAACATTGCGAAGCATTGAGGTGCACACACCTCCAAATTGCACATAACCAGTTGCAGAACCTGAGTGCTTTCATACTCCCTTACTGCCATTCTCCAGTCTGGAGATCATCTAAAACTAACGATGCTCTTCTGCTGCTATTTACACTGAAGGCTGCTTCTGAACAGTTTCCCTTTAGTGTTTTATTTGAAATACGATACTATGAAAAGAAATACAGTAAATTGATACAACAAAATAAATAACTAATACCTCTTTATTCTTAAGTGACAATCTTGTAAAAGCTAAACAAAACAGCATTTAGATAAACTTAATTAGGTTGGATTAAGTCATTTTGAGGTCATTTTTCCAGGCCTCACACTGAATCGCCGTTTGCTCAACACTTTGTTCTTTCCGCCAATGCAAACTCAGAGTACGCTAGTTACTGTCTACTGCAGGTACAATTCTGACTATTTTAGGTCCCAGCCAGACAAAGCCTGGTTTGAATAATATTAAACACCTTTAAATCGGTGGAAACCAGAGTGGAAACCGAGTACTTTTAACCAATGGGCAAAAGTGGCAAAACCAACCTGATACTTTAAATGAGCAACCTTGTTAAAGTGATGTTGTTTTTCTTCATTTTCTATCTGAATCTGCTTTTAATGGACATTATTAACATTTAATCTGACATGGTTGTTTGTAACATTAGGTATACCTCTAAATGCTGCCATATCAGATGATGGGCACGTCTCTAATGTCTTCCTGCTGCCTTTATTAAAGCTCCTTCAACATCTTTATCTCTCAGAATGCTGGAGCTCCAACCCTCGTGCAAGGCCTTCATTCAGCAGCATCCTGAGGCGACTGCAGGCCATCGAGCAGTCCTCCATGTTTCAGATGCCTCTGGAGTCCTTTCACTCCTTACAGGAAGACTGGAGGCTGGAGATCCAGCAGATGTTCGATGAGCTCAGAGCAAAGGAGAAGGTGAGAACTGTGAACCCATCCAACCAGACCTGAATAAAACTACTATTTAGCCCTCTTTAGAGTTTGTTAACCGTCTCTCTCTTGTGTTTTAGAAAGAGGTGGGAATCATCTCACAGTCTGAGGTGTTTCTTGCAAATTAAAAACAGCTCAGCATACAGATTGTGCCAGAAGAGGTGTTAGATCCAATTACTGCTATGATACACATCATCCTCCTCCCTTGTCTTCTTTCTATTCTGTCTGCAGGAGCTGAGATCCTGGGAGGAGGCATTGGCCCGGGCAGCGGAGGAGCAGAAGGAGCAGGAGGAGCAGCTAAAGAAGAGGGAGCAGGAGCTGGCGGAGAGGGAGTTTGACATTGTGGAGAGAGAGCTGAACATCCTCATCCACCAGATGTACCAGGAAAAGCCCAGTGTCAAGAAAAGGAAGGGCCACTTCAAGAAGAGCAGGCTGCTGAAGCTGGGCAGGGATAGCAACTGCATCAGTCTGCCCTCTGGTGGGTTGGGATGGGAACTGCATTTGTTTCAATGAGTCCACAAACCCGATAGATCCGCTGCGTTTATAATACTTCTTACTGGGGTTATTTTTATCGCTAAACACTGACTTAACTACTCTAACCGTGTTTTTATATCACCCTCAGGTTTAAGTCTGAACATTTGTTTTTAACGACTAAATAGCCGACAAAATTACATATTTCTTCCTTTTTATTTTGCTGTTTCTGATTTTTCGTTCCATTCACTTTTTATTCAGACCATTAAACAAATATTAACATGACTCAAAGATAAAATTCGTAAAACTTTGTTTTTCAAATGAGTTTTCCCTGTTTTTAAATCATGAATTAACAGTCATTGATGCCATTGATTGTCACTGATTGTTTTTGGTATATTTACCAGCCAAATCCAGACCCTAACACGCCTTGACCTATGGATCATCAAAATAAGTTGATGATCCATAATATTGTGAGGAAAACATGATCTAAACCCAAGAGAGAAAGTTTATACATTTTGGAGGATGTACCCCCCTCCACATCAAGAGAAGAGAAACATCATCCCAACACTCAGACATGGGTGTAGTGTGAGGATCTGAGTCAACTTGCTTCTCTAGCTCATGGATGATTTATTGGATTCAATGGAACCATAAAATAGACTTCTATGAATGTCCATCCATCAGTCTGTGTCTTAGGTTAATACAAAGCACACCTGCAAGTCTGCCTCAATTGGCTTAAAAACACACCATAAATGTTTTGCAAAAGCCTAGTCCAAGTTAAGATTTAAATTTAGCTCAGATGCTGTTGTGTTATTTTAAACCCAATTACTTTTTGCACATAGTGATAGGCTAGTTAGTGTTTTTCTTTCCTTAATAGATTAAGTCATCTTTTAAGAACCGAATTTTAAATCAGTTGATGTTTTCTTGGTCTGTTGTGAAAATAATGATGATCTGGAGTATTTGAGTCGAACAAAGAACTAAATTAAGGTAAATCTGCAAGAGGAAATATCTTTTTTTTTGCAGAACTATGCATAGTACGTTCAAAAGCTTTATCTCTTTGGTGAGAAGAATTAAAATATCTGCTATTGGCTGATGCTGTAAAAAGGATTTCAGTCATTTTCATTTTCAGACATTTGAATTTTAACTTTGTATGCAGATGGAGGAATCTTAAGTTAAATTTAAGGCATGCCATTCTCTACAGGTTTTGAGCACAAGATCACAGTGCAGGCATCCCCAAGCGTGGACAAGAGGAAGAACCAGAGGAGTGAGAGTACCACCCCTCCTGCCAGTCCGGGGGTTTTACCCCGCCTGCGAGCCATCAGACGTGAGCACCTACCCCCTGAGAGTCTTAGAGGAATATATTGAGTATAAAGTTGTTTAAGTGCTGTTTGTGTGTCTCAGTGACGCCGAGCGATGGCAGTAAAACATGGGGCCGAAGCGCTGTTTGCAAGAAGGAAGACCTGACAACCAATAAGAAGAAAGGGCGCACCTGGGGCCCGAGCTCCACCCACCAGAAGGAACGGGTCGGAGGAGAGGAGAAGTAAGGGCTGCTTCAAACTGGTCTGACTAATGATGTTATTATGAGGAGCAAAATTACTATAAAGCACATTTTAACATTTTATATATGCCTGACCGATGGCTGAAAGTTAAGTATTGTTGTTTCAAATTATAGATCATAAGAATAACAAATAAAATCCAACAAAATAACAACTTAAATCCAGTTTTTTTGTTCAAACCTAAATACTTAGATGCCTTCTGAAAATATTTGTAAGAAATATCAAAATATATGCTAACTTTCACTTTAAAACCCTTAAATAAAATCCAGTGCAACCGGTTATGGTAACTCCTGATAAATATGTTATTTACTCTCAGTGTAAACGGAGTGATTTTGTGAAGGAATGAGAAAAAAAACAAACAGTTTTTTCTAGATACATGAAGCTGATAGAGACATATCCTGAATGACCCCTAGACTGACTTACTGGAACAAAGGTTAACAATTGGAGGCTCCACACATTACTGGCCACTGGTGGATTGATTTTAGAGCTACGCTACTTTTTCTCTATAAAATGCGATCCCTCTGTTGCAAAGGGACAAGTTGTGGAAAGTTTCAAGGGTGTGAATACTTCCAGGAGTCACTGCCTATTTTTTTGGTACTAAAAACGCCTTTGTTCATGCAGGCTCAAATCTCTCAGCGAAGGCAAAGTTTATTCATCCAGTGCCCCAAATCTGGGGAAGTCACCCAAACATGCTCCCATGATGCCCGGCTTCTCCAGCCTGAATGAAATGGGTGAGTCTCAGCTCTTCTGTTCTGTTTCTAGAAATCTGCTCCCAATCTGACTCTTTCTTCCTTGACAACAGAGGAGGGCTCTGAGTTTGAGGAATCACCAGGGTCCTTACACCCGTCAGAGACCAGCAGTAATGGTGCCAATGACGACTCTGGGCCCCTGTGGGGCGGCTTGGGGATGAGCGGGGCAGCTACCATTAGCAGTACCAGCCTCTCCCTGCCGTCTGCGAGCCCTTCCATGAGTGTAAGCAACCAGGACTCTGTTCGTCGCTGCAGCCAGAGGAAGAAAAGCGACATGTTGCTACTGGGTTGCGCCTCCCTGCTCGCCTCTGTTGGTCTGGGACAGGACCTGCTGCAGCTGGGAAAACAGCAGGTGGGATGCAGACAGCGGGAAGATAATCTGATAGATCAAACAGGCTGAAACTCATGACTAAGCTTTCTATCTGGTTTATAAGGTAGCATGTTATTCAGTTTTTTATGCTTTTTTTTTTTAATAATTAAGATTATTTTTTTCTTTTTAATTTTATTTTTACAAAGGAAACTATTTTATCTGATATTTATTTATATTTGGACTCACATGAGATTAGAAAATCTGCTTTTGAGTTTAGTAATTTGCAGCCAGTAGCTGAATATTCTGCAATAACCGCCAAGATGAAATTAAGGGGTAGAGATGCTGAGCTCTGTTACGGAAAAAAAAAAACAAAACAAAAAAAACATTTTTTTTTAACTTATGAAAACAAACGCTTACAAAATCAGTATCTCTGGAGAGACTTGCACAAAGTGATGTTTTATGTGAAGGCTGTTGCAAAGATGAATTAAACTTGCAAAATGTTCTTTGAGAATACTGCAAACCAACAGCTGTGAAAATAAGAGAAAAAAGCAACAAAAATCCCAGAGAGAAATCAGTGAGAGTGTAAAGATGTATAATGCCGTGAAAATCAGTCACACTCTTGTTTTAAACCACTGTTGAACCAGTACTGATGATCAGTGCGTTACACAGGTAGACCATATTTATAAGGTGTCATGTCGGAAGTAAAGGGTTTCACTTATGCGTTGGTATTGAATAGGTGACAGCTGCACATAATTATGCTTCACTGCAGTCTTCATCCATCGTCTTTAAACTGATCTTGTTCCCAGATGCTTCAGGATGAGCAGGAGCGAGAGGAGCAGAGAAAGAAGAAAGAGGGTCTCTTCCAGCGGACGGGCCGTTTCCGTCGCAGCACCTCTCCTCCCAGCAGGAACCTCTCCTTAACGCTCTCCAGACACCACGACTCTGGGCTCGCCTGCATGGACCCGTCCCCCTCTGTGACACTCCTCTCTCTGTCCTCTCTGTCTGACTGCAACTCCACCAAGTCCCTTCTTCCCTCGGACTCGGACGATTACTCTCTGACCCCGTCGGTCAGCATCAAAACGCCCTCGACGGCCCCGTCACCCCAGGCCCCTGCGCTCAACCCTCTGCTAGACCTACGGGCGGAAAGCTTCAAGAAGGAGCCCAACCAGTCCCTTACACCCACCCATGTCTCCGCAGCGATGGCGCTGAACAGAGGACACAGACGGACGCCATCGGACAGTGCGATCCGGCCCCGAGCACAGACTTTGGGACACCGCAGAACGCCGTCCGACGGGAGCATGCCGATGCCTCCACCGCCAGTCATCACAACATGTAAAGGTATGCAGACAAAATCCACCACAGCATCCTTCCTGTGCTCCTCTGACACACAGGGTGTCCTCTGCCAAGAAGTCCTGGTTGAACTTGGCAGTAAAAGGTTTCATTCATTGATACCAACATACTTAATCCATGAAAGAAAAAAAATGCAATCTGAGAAGGTTTTACCTCAAATCTGTCTGCAGGTGATGTACTGTTGAATTGTATTACATAAGAATGAAAAATCCTTTTTGCTTTTCCTCTTTGTTAAATGAAACATTACATTTAAAATCACAAATTTTTGCGTGTTGGGGATTTCTTCTGTTTTATTTTATTTTTTGCCGTCTTTGAGATTGGAAGGGCCTCTAACCATTATCCTAATCAGGCAGGTCCAAAGTCGCTGTCCTGCAGGTTTTCAATGTTTCTCAACTTTACCACAGCTAATTCTGATGATTCCAGTTTAATAAAAGTCTGTTAATCAGCTAGCAATGAAGATCAGCTGTGCTAAAGCAGGGAAACCTCTAAAACCTACAGGACAGTGGCCCTCGAGGATCAATTTTGGACATGCCTTCTCTAATCTATAGCTGCTTCCTTCATATTTAAGACTGCACTTCCAATAAGAAGATAAATGTCACTTAAAACAAAGGCTCATGTCAAACTAAAAGCCTGTATCGGGGTTTAAATAGTTAAATATCTGAGAATAAGCAGGTGTGGGTTGGTGGTTTATGGATGGTGGCTAACTAAACCACGTAGGCGTTTTATCGTAGCACCTATGAGGATCAGTATATTTTTAATTCTATTCTGTTTGACTGCTATGTTCCACTTCCAGCAGGAAGAACAGTCATTACTTTAAAAAACAAATAGACTCTGACTCTGTTTCTTTCCCTAAGCTGTAGAGAATGGTCCTTATGCACTGAAAATAAAATAAACCCCCAGCATGTTTTATTGACTGCTTCAACACAAGCTGCACTTTAAGTAAATTCTAGGTACTTAACGCCACATTCTACATTCATATGTATTCCAAGGTCTTCTCTAAAGAGGCTTGGTCTTTGTTTTAGTATTTTTAATTTATATCTGTGGACTACCTGTGCATTTTACCTGAGGTCTCAACAGAATAACATAACGTAAATCTTTTTATTTAATTCTCAGGAAAGCCAGACAAACTGGACATCCCTCGTCTCCCGGACCCCTCCATAGTCTACCCCGTCCCCCATCGGCGTAAAGCTCCTGCTCCCCCTGTCCCTGACGTGGCCCCTCCCTTTCTCATCAGCCCCCTGGAGAGACCCAAGACTCTGGAGTTCGCTCCTCGCCCGCGGCCCACTCCGGCCCGGATAAGGGCGGACCACAGGAAGCGTGGCTCCGTGTGCCGGACCTTTAGCTCGTCTCCGGGCAGCAGCTGCGACAGCCCCCTTGGTTCAGGAGACAGCAGTGCCGGCACCACACGACCCAACCTAATGGACATGGACATGGAGGGCCAGAGTTTGGACCCGACAATTCCTCTATGTGGGCAGCTGCAGCCGGCCACTCTCTGTGAACAGCAGTACTTATAGTGAAACATTCCATAAGGAACAGGCATCCTTTCTAAGCTGAGTGCACTTAGTAAATCCAACTTCCTATAATGTTGCACTTAGTCTAAGTTGTTTCTCTCATGTGTCCTTAAAAGGTATGAAACCTTTCCAGCAGCCCTTGGTCTCTAATCAGCACAACACTGAGGGTTGAAGAAATTCTCATTGTGCTCGTCCAGCTAAACTTCTCCAGCTGGGTGACTGATTCTCTCTAAAGCCATTAAACATCTAAAAAAAGCCACGTCATTTCAGTCCATCCTCTCTTCCTGTTTCCTGTCTGTGCAGCTCTACGCATTTCTTTGCTCATCTTTCCCTTTGCCTCATAAGAGAAGAACAGAAATCCTCATGTTATGTTTCTCGCTGTCATTCGGAGCTGCTCTGTTTCTGAGGGGAGCGACGCTCCTCGTTGTATCGCGCATGTTTTATTCTGCATGGTGGTCATCCTTCTCCTCATCTTTCTAAACCTGGAAGGACGGAAAGCTTTTCCTCACAACTTTGGTGGATAGGATACATTTTCAGCCTTGTGCATAAAAAGAAAACAACCAATAATTTATTTTCTCTCTGTTCGCTGTTTTTTTTTTTTTTATTGATTCAAGCACCCAAGTGTGCTTCTATTGCATGAAAGTTTATACTGGATGATATCATGCAGAGCTGCCCGTGTTTATTGGGAAATATTTTGCTGCAGCAGCATAGTCCAACACTGAAAAGTGTAGAAATATTCAATCCTTTAAAGAACATTTAGATAGCTACAAAAAAATAAGATGTTAAGGAAAATTAGTTCTAAACACAATCAAATAAATGACCGAAATATTATCACCCAGAACGATCCCTTTAAAACAATGAACCTAAAGTGTTTTTTATTCATATTGTCACTTTTTCAGAGTTAACCTGAGTTTCTTGGAACTGAAATAGGTGTGTCCCTTCCCTTTTACTCGTATATCAAACCGCTGATTTGCATCAATAATATGTTGTCAAGCTCTACATTACTGTGCTGATGAGGTGATGAGAAACCTCAAAGATCAGTTTTACAGGTAAAGAATAAATGACTGTCCTACCATCAAAAAATGCAAAGATGATGAGTTTGCTCAATGTTTTTTTTTAACTGTAACTAGGTGCTTTGGTCACATCTGGTTGGGCCTGAAATAGTAGCCCCTTTAATATCATTTCCCTATGTGACCTGCTCATTATCTATGCCTTGTAATAATCTGAAAGATCTCAATATAGAAACATGGGGCAGGAATATAAAACTGTTCAGTTTGATACTGAATTGAGGAGCCTAGAAAGCAGAGCAAAGACGTCTCACCCTCTAATGTGGTTCTGTTCCAATAAAGGTGTTCAGCAGCTGTATCTGATGAAGATAAGAAAACTGCGTGCTGTAATGGTGGCTGTAATGAAGGCATGGCTGCATGAGGATCTGTAATATTGGTTTTATTTTAATAGGGAGCTTTTCCAAACGCACTTGGAATCTTGTAAGATGAACTCTTTAAAATATAAGATAAAAAAATTAAACCAGTAAGCTAAAAATGGGCCTTTATCAGGTTTATTTAGCAGGACTGGTACAAAAAATCAGGTCAAATTGAAACATAAAGCTACCATGTCATATGTCTATTTTAGTCTCCACACCTTAATCTTATAGAACATGTCTGGGGTTCGCTGAACAGAGAACAAGAGGACAACCAGGAATCTGAATGATCCAGAGAAATGGTTAAAGATCGCTCTCTAAACGCGCTCCAACCCGTCCTTAAGGGTGGAACATTACTGAATCCCACTGAATCAATGGGCTGAAATTAAAGGTTGGATTTTTAACTTATGCTGCTGTGGTGAAAGATTTCTTTTTGCTTGGGTTAATCACCAAACGTAGCCAGCAGAGTAACTGAGAGGATGCTCCTTCCTTCCCTCTTAAGCGGCTTCACATTTGATCATCATTAACATCCCAAACAGTCGTCCTCCATCAGTCAGTGGCACGCTGCATCCATCCTCCTCATCCCACCGACGCGGAACCGGACAGATCCTCCTTGATTCTCGCATCAGCCTCGTGATCCTCTGACCCTCAGCATCTGGAGAGACTCTGATCGGTTGTTTTCATACACTGGACAGTTTATTGGCTACAGGTGGTATTTACTTGACTGTGCAAATTTCTTTAGGTAAAAGGTGTGTTTGTGCGAGAGCGGAAATCTACGACTGTTTTGGGATCGATGACAATCCCTTTGCTACTAGAGTGAGCCCGATAATCATTCTCCTTTTTGTGCGGTTAAGAACACTGAGTATTTATTAAAATTGTTATTGTGGGAAAGAGTTAATTATTACTACGACTATTATTATTTCAGCGCTCTTCCTAGGTGTTATCTGTATATACTTGTTCATATGGGAAGAATGCAAGAAAAACAAAAACCTGGGAATCAGCTATCTGGAACATTTGTGTTGTCTTTTGTCTTTGCTTGTGAGGAATCTGTATGAAATAAGACGAATGAGAGGTGAATAAAATTAAAAAACTAAGAGATTTGTTGGGATTTTTATTTTATCATTCTTCTAAGAAGATGAGTTGTTGTACCTGAGTAGTAGTACTTATTTACTTTCATCTGGGGATGTTCCAAATAAAACACACAAGCTAGAAACAGACTTGTCTTTAAATATAAACTGAACGTTTCTCCTTATTTAAGTCATTCAGATAATGAGTGTGAACTTTACTGCCAAACTGCACCAACAAATAACAAATAGGACTGCAGTTGAAAGGGTAATTAAGTTCATTTTTGGTTTAATTCCAATATTAGATATTTAAAAGAGCAACATTGAAGAAGTATTAATCAATATAAGACGAGTCCTTATGTATAGAAAATAGGTTCTGTTCAAATGATCCATCATTTCCTCATGTTTTCTTTAAAAGTGCGCACATTTAAGTGAAATCATTGACTCTTACACATTGTGGAACAAAATAGAGTACACCCATGAAATAATCCCATTCCTCAACAAAACCTAGATTTAAGGTAATTTTATAATGGATTCAACAATGGTAAACTGGTATATTCCTTCTGCAACAAAACTTCCCCCCAAAAAATGAGTCTTACACCTCTCTCCTTTCCAGTTAGCAAGACTTTCTATTCATGGAATGTTGCATTTAGCTTTTTCTAAACATGTCCTCTGTCCTGGTGTTCAAATAATTCAGTTTTAGACCCGTCTGTGCAATTCTTTTGAAATTCTGGTTTCTGTCTGTGTCTCCTGTAGCAGATCTTAGTCTGGCCTTTAGGATTTAGAAGATAGTAAATGTGGCTAGGTCTCTGTATTTGCCATAAACAGTGACTATACTACAAACTACATTCTAAAACAGGTTTTCTTAACCCTAACCATCATGGCCGACTTTCCATCATGTTTTAAATGTGTCTCCACTAAAGCACACCTGATTCAAATGTTTGCAGCATCTCCTCAGCAACCATCAAATGCTGCAAAAAACTGATGATCACCCTTTTAAGGTCAGGTGTGTGGAGGTAGGGAAACACCTAGATCATGTAGGACAGGGACCCTCATAGGACCAGGATTAAATAACCCTACTGTAATACATATCCAACCTTTCATGTAACCTATACATACACTATTAGAAAACTAAACTTGTTAGTGAAGAATCTGTGGAAATGTGCTGGGTGTCTATTCATAAATTTAAGGGCTAATAGTAAACGGTGAGATCTGATCAGATAGTTCCTGTCTCCGGGTGCTCTGTTCTTGTAATAGAGGCTGTCCTACTCATATTTTTTCCAGCTAATCATCAAAGTTAGGTCATTATTAATGTGGACCTCCAGGTATTTGAATGATTTCATTTTCTTGGCGTGGTTCCCATGCATGGCCACCAGGAGGTGATCTCCAACTGACCTGGGATCCACTGCCTTATCTGGATCAATATTAAATTGATGAGAAATGAAAAAGCTCCTACACTCTTCCTCTGGATATCTACCTGTAGCTCCTTAAATTGGGGTTTAAGGTAACCTGACTGAATATAATGCTGGGCAAAGGTGAACTAATACAGCCTTGTGTGGCACCACTGGTGCTAATATCCTAGAATACAGCAGCTGCTTTCACCTGCTAAAGCTTAGAGACAGGAGAGTCTCTTTCCTGCACAACCCACATTCAAGTCTGACTTCTAAGCCATGTCCAATCATCATCTAGGACTCTGATTTAAAAAGACGTTCTGCAAATAGGTTTTCTTGCACCATCAATCTGCAATGCTATCCTATTTCATCTGATCAACCATAACATCATTCTCTATGCCAAGGTTTATTAACCCTGGTCCTCAGGGGTCCCTGCCTTACATGATCTTGGTGTTTCCATGCCTCCACACACCTGACCTGAATGAAAAGGTGATGAAGGCTTTTGTAACATTTTGTGGCTGCAAGGAGGTTCAATAATTTTAATGCGGTTTGTTTAAGGAGAGACACATCTAAAACGTGAAGAATAGTTGTTCCAGCATAGGTTAAGAACGCCTGTAATGCTTATGTCTTTTATTAGGGCCTGAGAGCCAAAGGCTATAAACCTCATGCTTATAAAGCTCTCTAATTGTTGCTCATCTTCTGTGTGACTTTTTCCAGGTAGAATCTATGTTATTTTCGAGGCCCCTCATACCATTTTGTGCCCTACTTGTAAAGTAAGCTGCATGTAAAACCAGGATAAAAAGGCTTTGAATTGCCTCAATATATAAAGTGTTTTGCATACACTAAAATGGATCATTTTACAATGCATCTTGAGATCTTCTCAAATCCTTTGCTTTACCTAGAATTTCTACAATCTTTTTTTTTTGAGGGCCTCACTCTCACCACCTGTGTTTGTCACTTCATTAGTCAGAGGCTGTTGATTCTATCGCCGAACTCTTCTAGTTGATTTGTTTTCATGGCATTTGAAGGATCTAGTCCAGGTAGGCCGGGTTTTTCGGGGCCTGAAGCTGATCGGAACACACCATAAATGTCTGAGGTCTAAACTTTCCTGCAGCCTGTCTTTGGCTGTTTTGGGGGCTGGCTGCTTGTGGCTGATTAGATGAATAGCTTCACCTGGCTGCCCAGTTATCAAGCAAGTGGTTTCACTTGGATGTCTACCTATTAATACCTCAGTCTCTCAGACAGTCTTTTTTTTTATTTTTATTGATTTACGGTTTTGTTATAAGCTAGGTCCCACTAACCACATCACATGAGGTAACTGATCAGGGTTCGTATGAGTAATTTATCCCTGAAAGGTGGATTTCAGAACAAATAGCAACAAAACATTGCACTTCATGCACTACATGCATTCATATATCAGTGAATTAGTGAAAAGATATTCCATTCCACTGTAACCATAAATTTGTCTTTATCAATTTCTCTTCAATTGTTCTGATAATCTTTCAACTTTTGACTTGTTTTAGTCTTAGCTTTTGTCCAGTACCTAAATATTAGTGAAATATTGCTTTTTATGTAACTATAATCTACTGCATAAAATGTTCATGCTTTGCAACTCAAGACAAGAAAAAAAAAAGACAGATACGCTAGTACACAACCAATTTAAGACTCAATATTTAGATCAGTCTATCTGTGCAACATGATTTGTTCCTGGATAGGGTATTCTTTTTGAGAAATATAAAAATAAAATGTTGTAACCAGCAATGTAAATCCCAAAATCTAAAAGACCTATCAGGTCTACTGAGATATTTTTATTAGCTATAAATATCCGTTCTTTTGATCTACCAGTACATAATACGCTCTAATCTAAAGGCTGGTTGAAAAATTGCTAGAAATGTCAAGGCCCAAGAGAAAATCTCAAAAAGTTGGAGAAAACATGAATTAAGACCCCTTAAAAAAACCAAAATTAAGTCTTTTTTTAAATCTTACTTCTAACGGGTAATTATTAAGTATCTTGTATTGATGTACATATTTTGCCAATAGTCCTCATCTCGCCAGACAAAGGTGCTTGCAGTAGCAGACTTTATCCACCAGGCGCCACCACTGCGCCCTATGATGTCATGTCTTTTCCAAGTCTGCTGTTTTTCTCCACGTCATGCATTTCTGTAGAGGCTCCCTGATCCTGCAGCTGTCATAAAGGCATATGGAGGAGCCCCTTTCACAGAAACATCCTGATTATCTTAGATTCTTTGGCATTATTGAAATATGTTCTAAGCAGCAGCTGTAGCAGCTTAGCTTGACCCATTAACAGATGCTGGGGACATACAAACCTTCTCTGTTTCTCTACTGTCCATGCTGCCGCCAATCAAACACCGTTTTAGACGCCAGCCTGTTACCTAGCAACCTCTCCCCACTTCCATGGTGATGCTATTAAAAGCAGCAACACACACATACACACACAGATTTAACAAAAAGTGGAAAACAGACGAAAATGAGGTGAGAGGGAGGTGATAAGGTGCAAGCAGAAAGGTTTTAGTAGTTTTTAAACGAGGCAGACAATGTGGACCTTTTTTTTTGCTGTCTTTTTTGTCCTTGTCCACTATTGCATGTAACACCCTTTTTGGTTTCCCCTCCATTCCCCCATGCTTTATGCCAGTGGGAGCATATTTTAGAAGAAAAAGCAGACAGAATCTGAAGGCCAAAGTGTTTGGAGAGGATGGTGATATGCAGAAAAAAAATGAGTTGGACACAAACAAAGAAATATGAGTGTTTCTGTTCAGCTTCGGAGAGAAAGGCTTGCCAGATTGCCTGCCAGTTGGTGTGTCCTCAGATCTGCAGCTCGCTTTATCTTCTGCTGAATCTTTTGGAGTTAAATTAAACCACTAATGCAGTTTTATTAGGAAATACTCTGTATGTTAAAGAATACATCTGACATCAAGGAGGACATTTTCACAACCTAGATCATTTTAGATCAAAAGTTAACAGATGGAGAAAACAAGTCCATGAAACATCAAGGGTACTTATCAAGATTGAACATTAAATATTTTCCAATCCATGTAATGGATAAGCACCAAACTACTTTTCCATATTTTATTTTAACTGAAACTAACGTTTTAGTTAAAATATGTCATTCCAGAGCCGTTTTATCTACCCAATCTCTTAGTTACTGACTCAATGTTTCATGTTTTTAAGGAGTAATTTAACCATCCCCTTTGTTGAAAGTCAATGTATCATAAAACTTGAAAGTGTTTTAAAAGTGTTTAAAAATGTTAAAAAATTACAAAATTACTTTTTCCTTTATCCACACTTAGCCAGATCAGGGAAATTATTTTTCCCATAAAAGAGAACTTACAATATTCATTCTGAGGTTCACATTGTTAAACCATGATGCTTAAAAATGAAAATATAGTTGCCTTTGTTTCATCCAGTTATTTGTGCCCTTTTTGAAAACTGTATAAAAATAATAATCCTTAAATCTCTGAATATATCCGGTTTCATTATGCACTATGATATATGATAAATACTATATGTATATATGATTATATATTACTATATTATAATGAAGTGAAATGCACAAATATTTTTGAGAAGTGTCTAGGTGGCAACAACAATAAAAGAAATGTGTCAATGTGAAGCTCTGGAAAAGATGGTATACGGGGTAAAAAGGTGAGTCTGTTCTGAAACTAAAACGTTTTGAACCAATGACCACAATTTCTTTATGATTATTTTTGAAGTATTTCAATCAAAGTGTTAGTTTTGGATCAACTTTTAACCCCAAGAATGTATTAGCTGATGAAAGGAACAGACTCACTGATGATGAAAATTAAAGAGCTAATTAAAGCAAGAATTAATTGATAAGAAATAAAATACAAAATCATTGTGAAAGAGCTTCAGAAAAAAAAAAAGATGATATAAAACAGCTTAAGGTATGAAAAGGTGTCTTCTTGAAAGTTAAGCACCTTGGATACTCAGGGTGATAAATTGAGTGTAAGATTCTTTTAAAGGTCTCCTTTACCATTCTGTTAAAAGTGCCAAAGCAATAATAAAGCTAAAAATTGGAAAAAGAAAAGTGTGTTGTTTCTTCTACAGACTATAAGAAGTAGAATCAGCAAAAACAACAAAGACTCGTTTTAGTTTTAAACTTTATTCATAATCCTCTCATACCAGTTATTAGTGCATTCCCAGCCTTGCATTTCATTAAAACCTGTGACGGAGGCCTCTCACATGTTTGAATGTTAAATGAAAAATGGCCTCCTGAGAGGGATTTGAGACAAAAGTGCAGTCTTAGCGCCGTGTCACCAGCTTCTTGTCCTTCATGTTTAAACACACAGTTTGAAGGCGTGAGGCCCACCAGTTCTCCAATCCTGTGTTTTCCTTTAGCTGGGGCTGTGCTCTCCCTCTAAGTCATTTTAGGTTCCCTTGACGGGAAGACAAATACCAACAAATACGGACACAGTCACGATGAAGCTCTGAGGAGGAGCTGGAGTAATTGTCTCTTTTTTATCTCTTACTTTTCTTCTGTTGATAAAGTAATTCGGTAAAGTAAAGCTTTTCACAACCATAAAACTTTCCATCTGTAATTTTTTGTACAATTATTTTATATATTCACAAAAACTACTTTGACATTTGACAAACATTTACCTTGAATGACATCAAAAGTAAAAAATAAGCTTTATAAAATTAAATAAATGAAATAAAAATACATGAATAAAAAACACAGCCATTTATTTCTTTTTTTTTGTTGTGCTTTTTGATTGTTTTAAAAGCGGTACGGACAAAGAGATGAGGAATCTCTGTTTGCACACACGACGCGTTGGATTATGCTTCAGTTACCATGAACAGCCTCAGAGTCAGCTCTGTCAGTAATCAACACACCTGCTCGGCGGATAGCTAGTTAACCTTCCACTTCTACGACGAGCTAAATGACTTCAGCACAACCAGACAAAAACAAGATGATGAGCTGGTGCCGTGGAGAGACGACCACAAGGGGGGACACCGATCCCCGAGGGGCCCTGTGGGTGAGGAGGCAGCCATGGAGAGCAAGCCTGCTGGTGCCTCCTTCCATGCTGATTTATCTCGTCTGGGAAATGAGGAGACATAAACACACAGCAGAGTGCACAGGCACAGAAAGCCTTCTGCATCTAACGCTTTAACCCTAACAGACTATAAATCGGTGTCAGGCGCTTTAGAGCAGCCCTCTGTATGGATGGAGGAAGTCCTTTAAAAAGTACTTATAACACTTGAACTTTTTTATTTTGTCACGTCAATTTTTTTTTTGTAACCGAGATGTGATGTGATGGACCAACACAAAAAAGGATATACTTGTGAAATACAGAAGAAACATATTAAAGATATTAAAAAATGAGTAAAAATGTCTTAAATTAAGTGTATTTACCCTTAATTCTAGCCAGTAAATAAAATATTCTGCCAATGGAATGAGCATTTCTAATCTTGTAATAAGTATACAATTAGATAATTAGATATTATGCTCTTGGAATAAGAGACTGCAGTTGTTTTTTTCTTATTTTAAATGTAAATTCCCTTATTCCATTGGCAAAGTGTATCACTTAACTGCTCAATTCAAGAAAAAAATGCCCTTATTTAAAGAAAAATAAACTTAGATTTAATTGTTTTGCAGTGTATCTCTGAATGAAATCCAGTTTTACTAACTGCTGTAAAAATTCACCTAATCATTCACCTGTTTTATTTAATAACAGTATTATTTCCTGCTGTTCATTAGCAAACATTAGTGAACTAAAAGCAGGTTGAAGGAGATGAGCAGACAGGTCAGGAATGTTACCTCATTGGTCAATGAAAATGACTCTCCTGTATGACCATCCACCTAAACCCAACAGGGACGAAGGGAGCATTAATCTGAGTGGCCAATGGTAACTCTGGGAGAGCTGAAGAGATCCATAGCTCAGCTGGGAGAATCTGTTGACATGACAGCTATAATCCTTGCTCCCCACAATTTGGTCTTTTATGGAAGGTCAAGAAGAAAGAAAGCCATAGATCGTGTTTCCAGTTTCCACCCTACAGCAGACATGTGGAAGTAGCTGCTCAGGTAAGATGAGACCTATATGTTCACTCATCAACCTGTAAACAATATCAGCAGAGGGAAACAGCATCATGCTGCTTTTTCCCAAGAGGCGACAAGGGAGCCACAAAGAGTTGATGGAAAGATCAAATGGTCCAGCCGAAGTCCAATCCCAAAGAGCTGCTTTTTGACAAAGCATCAACTCTGGCTAAGCGTGTTTAAGAAGGGCCGTCAACATCCCCAATCTCTGCGGATAGCCGGTAGAGAAATATTTTTTAAAACTAGCAGCTGAAATTCTGTGGAAAACGTGTTTCAGGAGGACTGAATGCATCCAGAACTACACACTGCTCTGTGTTTTGGTCTGTCACATCACATTGTGTTAAAACAAAGTGAACTTTGTGGTTGGAATTTAAAAATGTTATACGAATACTTTCACAACTCTCTGTGTACTTTGCATACATGCTCCAGTGAAGGCAACCCTGAAAAACATGTTAATAATATATTTAAGTTTACAGAAGAAAAAAAAAGGACTTTTGTTGTAACTGAACATCTGAACCTGCTGCATCTTAAAACCAACTCCTTAAAGGAGACATTTCCTGGTAAGTGGAAGCTGAAATACTTTGACTGTAGGTCTTTTTTTTGTGAGAATACGTTTGTCTCCACATATTTTTGGTCATGTAGTGTTGAAAGATAAATTCGGTTGGAATTTTCCTGCAGGGCTGCAGCTGCTTAACTCGAGCTGATGGCCTACTTCTCCTTCCCCCGGAGCCTCCATGTATCATGCCGGCCTCCTCAACTCATGATGTCGTCTCTCCAGAGCGCCACTGACACACTTACTGTAGGTCCTTCTCTACCTTATACCAGGCCAATACATTAAGCTTTGAGGGAAACTCTTTCCCAGCATTTTCTCCTCTGAGTTTCTAAAAGCAGGGGAATTATTTTCCACCTTTGTAAACTAGCAAAGACAAGCCTTATCTAGAGTTATTTTATGCCTCTTCTGCAGTTGTGATCACAATCTCCACCTTCTTAGTTTAGAGAGGAGAAAACCAGATCGCTTGAGCAAACATTTTAGTGGCAGCATGCCATGAGAGAAAGAAATAGAGCCAATGAATTCAGCATAAAAGTCTTCTGAAATAACCCTCAGGAGCCACGCTTTACATGCAGAATGGTGGCTTGCACCAAAGGAAAGCTGGGTTTCATAGAGTCAGAGTTGAGGGTAAATGAGGTCATGCTATCAACTATGATCAATCCAACCCTCTGCAGAAAAATGCAAAACAAATGATCAGTGATTAAGTTTTACAAGTCTCAACAGAAGCAGAGCTTTTTGCAGAGTTTTGACAGCCGATAATGGATATAACCATACCGTACCGTCAGTAGTATGTGATGCTAACGCAGCATGCCCTGACAGCCATGCTTGTTTATTAGCACGCAGCAAACTGGAAGCAGGAGAAATCTCAAATGGCTCTCTGCTTTAAAAGGACGTGGAAGCAGAGTGCTTCAGCTTTGTGGTTCGGACCGATGTAGATAGAAGAGATTTTCTCCCTGCAATAATGCTGCCCAGAGTCTCTTCTGTGTCTCAGCAATGACTGGGAAGATTCAGCATTAGCGGTAAAAGATTGGACCATTAAGAAAAGTGTGAGTCCAACAAGCTTATGGAGGTTTGATGGACCTCCTAAACTCACTGGCTATTTTCCATAGTGACATCATTAACGAGAACGGAGGGGATAGGATCTGGGAGCGGCTTCAGACAATGGATTTAAGACACATTTTACTTCTTTTTTCCACGATAGCGATAACAGCAAGAACCGCTTGAGACTTTTTCCTATTTGCTGCAAACAAACATTTCAAAATAGAACTGAGCATGACCAGAAACCAGAGAATGTAATAAGAATTACAAAAACTTGATTTAGCCCTTGAATTGAAAAAAACAGTCTAGAAACTGAGATGCATGGCAGGTTGAACAGATTTGGAACAGTTTCTCTTCTCTTCTGTTCTGTCTAAGGGTCGGAGGAGAGCCATTCGGTTAGGATATACAATCAAAATGGGCTGCAGTCATAATATGTGTCTCACAGACACCCAACCGTTGTGCTTTAAAGCATCTTAGCCCAGATGATCACACACCACTTCCCTCCTGCCAGAGTAGTCTGGCTTCCCAATCCCTAAAATTCTCCACCAGGGTTTGGATTCAGTAGACAGAAAGAAAAAAAAAAGAGTTAAGAGCAAGAAAGCAGGAATTAAAAGCATGTTTACTGACTCATCCAAATGTCCATGAGGGTTTATTAAGCTCCTTTTTTACTCCATCATAAGAACGGTTTCAATGAGTATATTACAGTTTGGTCTTTTGTTTTTATCTTTTACTTGGTTTTCTTGTCTTCATGTTAGGCAACTGATTGTGTCTAGGGAGGAAAACCAAAGCCCCTGAGGGAGAAACTGGAGGGAGAAAAGAGGAGAAACTAGTAGACGTTGCTTGATATGTGCCCCGTTTGTGTCACCAGCTGGGTGATTGCGTCTGTTCTGTCTGTGCTGCTGTCAGAAGAAAGGGGAAGGGAAGGGTCAGAGAAGACTTGCCAAAAGGGTCGAAGGTAAAAAGGGGTCCGAAGTTTAAAAAAAGGTAAGCCCTAGGTCTCTTTGCCGCACTCTCGTTCTCGCTGTCCACTCTTGCTCATCTTCATCTCTGTCAGCTGGATGTACCTCAGCACGTTGGTGTCTGCAACAAACGGAAAACTTTATGCATAAACGTAGGAACCATGACTTCAGTTAATAAAGCCATGCTGTTTTTCTCACAACGCTGCTAATGAGGTTTCATTTGCCATAGAAAAACGTTTTCCACTATATAACCAACATGTTAAAATTCAGTTTGAAAACTAAGACAAGCAGGTACAGTTAAACCTCAGATTATACACCTCCTGATACACTGAGAACTTAAGTTTTTTTTGTATCTTTTCTTCTGATAGTAAAAATCATTAGTGTTTTAGTATGGTTCAGCCAGAATCTTGACTTAAATCTGACAGGGAATCTGAGAAGAGAGCTGAAGATCAGGGTTATGGCAAGGAAGCCTTACCCCCTCAAAGATATATCATCAAAATGCCATAATGTTAACCAGTTTTATATACAAACAATGTGAATTTTAATTCTCCGGATACCCAAACCAGGCTGACTCTGCTGTGATGAGCTGCAGCATCAAATTGCTTAGTTTCCCTCCAGGGATCCGGTATATATGAGGCAAACTGTATAAACGTAAAACTAGGTAGATTGGAAAAACGTAAAGATTGACGCCACATTTCAAACTTTTGAAATTTCACCAACCATTTCCTTAATCATCTAGTACCAAATATTTTTACTATAAATGACTTTTAACCAGGAAAATTGCAGGCATCCTACAACTACAGGTATAGCATGTAGGAATAGAGCTGTATGTGATTAATGAGCCCTCAGTCCATTTAAATCTTACTGCTTTTCTTACATAAGACATAAGTTTGGTTTGGTGACAGCCATGGAGAAGGGTTGATTCTTTCATTGTTGAGCCAATCAGACGTAGAATTGTCCTAATTTTAAAAGGACCCATTTTCAGTTTATAGCTTAAGACCATCAGCTATTTATACAGAAAAAATATCAATGACATCATTTACATTGACAAAGCTCCTGGACCTTTGGAGCTGACCTTGGTGCCCACAACACCAAAAAATCTCCACCGTACTTAACATCATATATCAGGAGCTTTCAAACAAATCTCTGTACTCCAATAAAAGAACATTAAAAAACAATCCACTGGGCTTTGTTTCCAAGTTTGAAGGCATTTCGGTTCCCATCCAAGAAGCTTTTTAATAAAAAATGTCAGGAATAGCGATGAGTTCGAGGATTAATGCAGTACTTTTTTAAAAATCAAATCCTGGTGCGAAGGATAGAAGTTATCAGTATCATCATAAGACCAAATATTATTCAAAACTCTTTAACTAAAACATTGACTATTCTAATAGATTAATTTGTATTTAAAACTGTATTTTTTTTCTTCATTATGTCTTTATGATTCAGTTAGGTATTTACTTATTCTATCTACATTAACTTAGGCTTACCTGTAGGTTCGCGGTTCTTAGCATCCCGCAGGTAGCGTAATGCACATTCATAATCGCCCAGGTGATAGAAGGCGATACCAGCCCGGTACATGGCCTTAAAGTGGTCTCTCTGGTGGCTGAGCACCTTCAGACAGTACTCCTTCACCCTCTCGTAGTTTACCAACTCAGATTGTAGAAGACAGGCTGCAGGAGAGAACAGAAAAGATGGCAAGAAATAATTAAGGCAGGAAAGAAACTGTTTGATGAGATCCCCATGCAAAGGTTAATGTTATTCTATGGTTGCACTTTCATAGTTTCACAGTGAAACTTTTTCATGGTTTATCTTCTGAGTAGTGGTGAGCAGACTATAAATAGTGTGTTCTAATGTCTTACAGAGCGCAGAAAAGACAAAAAAAAGGGGAAGCAATTGAAGCCCCCAGGCGAGAGCATGGTGTCTCTTTTATTTATTGCTTTCACTGGACGTGTCAGGCAAAATAGAGGAATGGAGTGAAACGGCAGCCACAGAACGATGCAGACACCTAATGTTTTAGAGTCGGGCACAAGAAAAAAAGCAAGAGAAAGGGCTGAGTGGATTATCAGAACACATCAGGAAAAATAAAAATACTACAGTCATCAATCCTACCTGTCAAACTAGTGATTTCTCAGCAGCTCTTACGTCAGCTTAGGCTGGAACTACTTTATTATGAAAAGCACACAAGAAAAGTCAAAGACAGCTTTTAGTCCATCAGAGCTTTTAAACACCACTGATGGCTCCGATATCCTCTGCTGATCACAACCACACAAGCTTTTATTTCCACCCGTTTCCCTTCAACTCTTCCATTGTCTCTGCCAATTAATCTGGTGAGACATTAGAAAGAAATCCCTCTATCTCCAGTCTCTCTCTTTCACTGTAGTATCCGCCCCACAGTGGTCCCACACTTCTTCCCTGTTTCCTCTGACTTTGTCCTTGACATCTTTGTTAAAATCATGAGTCATGGAGCATTAGCTGGGAGGCATGGTGAGTCAGAGGTGAGAGGCAGACTGGGGAGGGAGGGAGGTGGAGGTGTTTGTGTGGGAGAGCGGGGTTAAAGCAGGGGAGAGGAGCAGCACCTGTGGAGGCGACGTGGTGAATAGGAGGAGTGTGATGAAAGCAGTTTACAGCCTTCCACCCACCATCCTCTTCAGATCAACACAAAGAACATAATAATTAAAGTCATATCAATGTGATTCATGGTTTTTAGCATTTTCTATTCAATTAATTTTCAAAAGTTAGGTCTGGTTTAGTGTTCAGCACCTCTGACTCCATTGAAACCACTTGAGAGTACGTCTCTGTAAACAATCCACAATTTAAAATAGAAATTCAAAGCAGGGATCTAGATCTGACTTTGACTAGGCACACTGACCACATTAAAATACTTTGAGATAAGCCCTTCTATTGTTACTCTAACTTCAAGTCACCAATGACAACTCCATTTAAAGTGGAAAAGAACCTTGTTGAGTGCTTGATAAGTGCTGCAGTTCTCTATTTTGACCACAGGTGGCAGTATAATTATTAGAAAACTCCGTCATACCCCTTTAAGGTCTCCGTTTATAGGGATAAACAATCCTATTTAGGCTGGTTTCCTGTTTGGTACCTTACCCGCTTGTTTTGTTTGTATGACCGCCATTGTGTAACAACTCATGAAGATGGACCAGCTAGAAGAGAGAATCTGCGAAGAAGTAAGGAAATACCCACATCTTTACGACCGTCTTTCTCCACACGACAAGGACAGCACATATTCAAGCATTTCATGGAGGGAGATAGCGATGAATGTGTTTCTAGATATGGCTGAGGTGGTTAGGAAGTGGAAAAACTCAAGGAACAAGTTAGTCTCAAGCCTTAGTCTGCATCCTCCAACATGTTTTCTGCCAGGATAGTTGTGCATTTATCAGACAGTATAATGCCTCCATAATTCCACAGTGGGGATGGTATGTTTATTTCAATGTGTTTCTTTTTCTCTGCACAACATGTTATATGTGCAAGTAAAAAAGTTTCATTTTGCTCTTGAATTGACTTTCTTGTTGACTCTTTAAAGGCTTGACCAGCGTAACCATTGGGCTCCTGACTACTTTCCTTATTAACATTTAGGCTACATCAGATACTGAGGGCTTGAAATACATTTCTAAACCAAAGTTGATGCTGATAGGGACCAATTTATGTAATGTATGGTATTGAGTTTAAAAAATTGTCCCAAAACATTGGGTACAGATGATCTCATCAATAAAACTGGCTGCAGCAGGCATAGATAACAGACAGGAGAGGCTTGAAGAAACTGGTGGCATGGTATTAAAAAAAAAGAATAGAAACTAAGACTCTGGAACTTAACAGGTTCAGGGATATAAATTAACTTAGGCCATTTTTAAAATAAAATACTCCCTTCTATAAACAAATCTTTGTCAACAGCCTTTTCATTGGAGCACTCTCACTTTAGGGAGCAGATTAACGTTGACCAAACCCAAATATACAGCAAATGTTCTGCTTTGCTGGACTGACTTCAAAAGACTGTAATTGGGTCTAGTTGTCATGGTAACAAACTTCTGAGGCTTTCACAGAACATCTGTATTTATGACAAAATTTAAATATACTCAGCAAGAAACTACGTGCTAATTAGGGGAACACTGAAGGCCATTTGTTGCACTGGATGCTCTTAAGAGGTGTAGGAGTGAATATGGTAATGCCATCATATATTTCTCTGAGCTTTATCGTATTAAAGTCATTGGGTACTCTAACTAACGTTTAATTATTAAAACTTTTTTTTATCAGAATTATTAATCAAAACCAATTTCCATATTCCAAATAAACTTAGGTTTGTTATTTTGATGAAGGTAATTGTATGAAAGGTGTGATATTATTAAGAAAATGTTTTTCAGCTTTCCTTAGAGCTGGACTTTGATGCAACTGAAAAACGTGGGAGAAAACAATCAAAATCCTAAATAAATACTATGAAGAAAAGGAGGCCTTTAAAAAATATCATGCGCCAGGCTCCTTGTGGGCCAAAAAAGGACTGTGGCAGGAATTATAAAATGAATACCTGCATAAGAATCCACACATATAGGTTTGATAATAACAGGAACATAAAGAAAACTGACACTTCATGTTGTAAGTCAGAGTCAGGGGCAGAGCAGGAAGGGCAAAGCTGTTTTCCCTCTTTAGTCAACATAAAGCCCTCTCACATCTACTACAGCAGGATTCACCTCACTCGCCCTCCACCTGTCCTGCACACCCTGCAATACACACGCTACTCTGTTTGTTTCTACCAGCACTTAGCAATCACAAGACTCTTCCTCGCTGCACACCCATCCATCATCTTCCTCCAGCAGGGAGCGGGGAGCTGAGCTTTCAGAGGATTCAGTTACAGTCCATAATGGTTTAATGGCTGACTTAGAGGTCTCACTCATACTGACACACTAATATACAACCAATACACACCAACACTGCATACAGTACATACAAGTAATTCAAACATCACAATGAAACTGTGAAAACATCCACCTGTGCCAACATGGGTGAACAAAAATATCCACTCAAAAAAATCTGCACAAAGCAGATGACTTTAGCAGGAGGACGTACCACAATTGTATGAGGCCCTTCAAATATACACAATCCACAGTGTGCAGAAGTGATGACTGGCTGGCCGCACCCAGTCGGCCCATTAGGCAGATGGATGGAATGCCAGAGGAAATGTAGAGTGTGGTGGGATGCATTAAAGATACGACGATAATGATGGGATCATCGGACCACGCTTGGCAGGGGCACGGACCCAATAAACACAACGGAGCGATTTCACAGGAGCCGAAACGTCTCTGTTACTAAAGACATGACTGTGTCTGGTATAACTGGAGACACGTGACAGCAGGTGCAGCGAATGAGTGATAAGTTAGTTAGTTAGTTTTTTATTTTTATTTTATGTTATTTATTTATTTTATTTTTTTTTCCTACTTGCTTTGATTCTGTTTTATTTTCCTATATTTTAATAATGTAAAGCACTTTGCATTGTTTTTGTACTGATTGTGCTATACAAATAAATGTGCCTTGCCTTGCCTTGCCTAGCAAATAAAGAAAAAGCGTGGCAAGTATTAAACGTAGAAAAAGATGATAAACAACTGACTTCTTTTTTTTGCTTTTCCTCTCAGTCTTAGACAAAGTTTGACAAAAGTTCTAAAGAAACTTAGAGATTCAAATTGGAACAGGATTAGCACATTATAATGATTACTTTGGTACATTTACACACATTCTCTGAAAAATGTGTCTCATATTCTCAATCTTTGAATCCCATCAATTCTTTACAGTCAAAATAATGTGAATTCCTTATTTAATGTGCATTTATGGCCGACAAAAACCATCAAATAAATAAACAATTTTATAAAAACACTGATGAGCTTAGCGTTTAAAAACACTATGGTGAATGGAAATCACAACTCATTCTCACAACTCTTTCTCTTCATTCTACTCTTGCTGTAGATAGTACAAAAGTTTTTTTTTACACATTTTTATTCTAAAACCCACAAACTCAGAACACACTAAACAGCATAATACATGGCGCTACACATATAAGGGGGTGAAGTGTATTGTACATGTGGTTATCTTCAATCCTGGCCTGCACTGCATGAAAACAGGGGTCTTCCTGCTCCAGCTCTAATTGCCTCCTAAATTGCAAAAATGTTGCATATTGCTTTTAGAATTTTGTTCTATTAAGTTTTACTTATGAGAATTGTGCTTAATGCATGAGAGATGTGTGAAGTATTTTGAAAAAAAAAAAAAGTGTTTTAGAACTAATTTTTTCTAGTCATACTGATGTTAGGAGTAATGAAAAAAATGGACAAAGCCCAACAGAAGAATCACATATGGCTTATTTTTCATCATTTTTCTTTAGGTTACTTATTTTAAGGAGGATCAAGGAGCTAAAGTAATGTGAGCCTTTCAGATATGATGCAGACAGGTGATTTATCTTAATCAGCTGCTTCATACAGGAAATAACAGAGAGATCTGAGGGTTCCAGGCTTTACTTTCTGATTCTGAGGGATTCAAGAAGGAGCGATGTGTAAGAATTGTTAAAAGACTTCAAGTAAAGATGCTTGTGACCTCAGATTGCCTTGGGATACCATGCTTTTGTATTCTTTTCTTAAAAAAAAAAAGAGAAGTTAGAGGCATGTAGAGTTGAAGG